AGAGATGGTGAGATTGGTACAGGATAGGGCAGAGTTTATGGCTATTGTACATAGGGTCACTATGAGTTGGAGGCGACTCGATGGCACATAACAACATAAGTAATTTAACTGGTGTTTACCCTCTATTGATTCAAATGTGTTAGGTATGGGTGCTCAGTAAGAGGGAAGGGCCCTAGGCAGGGGAGGTGCCCTCTCAATCCAAGGTCTGATTTCTGGCCAGCTCCAGACAGAAAACAGTGTGGCTTGGAGAAAATGGAAGGTAGAGACAAGACAACATGATCTGAGATTTGGTAAGTCCTTAGGGGTAGGCACAGGGGATCTTTTCAGCTGCTGTGGATGACACTGCTGCCGCCATAGGGGTTCCTGGTTTCCATGCTTGCTAGGTATGTGTACAAAATGGCTATACTTATGCAATGTTTGTCCTTATGAGACCGAGATTTTACTCAGCATTATGCTCTCTAGTCTCTCCCAAGTTATGTAGCATATTTGGAAATTATTGCTCCTGAGTGCTGCGTAGAATTCCATTGTGTGAATGTACTATTTCTCAGTCCACTTGGTTGTGGCTGGGTATTTCTTCTGTTCCCACATTCTTGTGATGGTGAATAACACTGCTATGAACATAGTATGAATACCCTTTTATGTCTCAGTTCTAGTTTCCTTGAAATATATTCCTAATAGTGGACTAGCTAGATCATACAGAGTTTCTATGTTCAGCTTTCTGAGGTAATGCCAGACTGCCATCCAAAGTGGTTGTACATGATACAAGGGGAAAAGAAATGGGAGGAGAGGGGTGAGGATTAGTAGGAGCAAAATCACAGGATCTCACAACTTGGTGGGAGGGAAAGGAAATGGGAAAGACAGGATAATGGTGGGTATGGTCCAATGGTGACTAATTTTATAAAACATAATGAATGGGAATGATTATATGAAACACAAGTGAAAGAATAGGGTGAAGCACACTTTATACAAACTTTGTAACCCAATATAAAATAAATTTTAAAAATATTAAATGGCTATATTGCCACTGTTTACGGTTCTGTGCTGCTGCTTTTCTTATTCAGTGTCTCAATTCAGTATCTTCCTTTAGCCAGTGTTTGAAGTACTTCTTCAACTTTCCTTTTTAAACTGAGGGCTAAAAATGTCTCATTCCTATCTATTATGGTTGTTTTCTGGAATCTTTGGTACAAAGGTTCTGAACTGCTCTCCATCTAACCTGTCTTGAGAACAAAGTCAGGTCTCGAGTTGCAATACTGAAGGATACTATGGGAAAATCTTGAATGATGCCGGAGGCATTAGAGAACATGGAAGGAATGCACAAAAAGTGTCACTGTAGCAAAAAGAAATGGTTGACACTAAACCATTTCAGTCATAAATGATAAATAAATAATGATAGCGAGGGAAGTTCAACCTGCACTGAAGGTATTGTCAGAAACACTCTAGCACGAGTAGAAGACCAGTTAATGTATTTCAAACAGATACAGCCCTGGATGGGCTCACTGTTGTTGATGTTGTTATGTGCCGCTGAGTCACCTCCAACTCATAGTGACCCTATGTACAATAGCCATAAACTCTGCCCTATCCTGTACCAATCTCACCATCTCTTACACACCTACCCCCATTACCCCAGTCACTGAATCA